TAACCTGATACGGCACTGACACGGACAATACACTTACTGATTATCCCATAGTTCAAAGGCTCAGGGGCCAGTCACACTTAACAGCGGAGTTTTCTTTGGTGGGAACAGGAGTGGGAATCATTTCTCTGGTTGCAGCTCGATCTGTTTAGTGATCACAGATGGAATCACAAGTAGTTGCTGTTAGTACAGTGTTGAGTTTGGTTTGGATGCTTCGTAGGAATACATTTGTACTTGTGTTTAAGGTTCTGTGCTCATACTGTAAGAGATGATAAAATCATTTGTCTGTGTTTGTAATTCCAGTTTGCTTATGACAGAAGAAAGATGAATGCTTTATAAATTGGAACCTTGCAAGGCAGCTGGACTGAGATCATAAAATCACATGAGAATCCATCTTTCCAGTCTTCAAGCTATTTTGTCCAAACCACAGTGGTTTGGACACAGGCAACGTCCTTTGAGGGACTATTGGCAGCCACGGTATGAGCAAAGGTTAGTGTATACGCTGCAAGCATCAGTTGTATCAGAACTGGATAATATTTCTTCACTAAAAGAAGAGCAAAGAACATCACCGAAAGATTTTCTCAGTGGAAAATATGTTTTGCCCTTCTCCCTACTGAGTGTGTTAAGAGTTTGACTACGTTATATATTTCATTATTCTGATTGGTTAAAGTTCGGCTGTGATAGACAGATGGTTCATTCAGTCACCTGCCAAGTATTTTTTGAAAGTGGCTGCCCTTTTCTAAACAGTTTCCAACAACAAGTCCCCAGTTCTGTGAAACAAACCATCAAGTTATATAAACTGAATGTAGCTTGGAATCGAACTAATCCGCACAAGATCAGATCAGCAAAAAAATGCAAATGAATGCGCTTCTCCCTTCACTACTTGTATGTAAGCAGTTGGTGGCGCTAATTCTCCACTTGGGTGGTATTAAACCATTGTAATAGAAGAGGACACAACAAGCCAGTCAAACCTCTAACAAATGAAAACAATGAAGACATTTCCCAACATTTTCACTCCACTTTTTTATGCATAAATTGCAATGGTGCATTAAAAAATATGGGTTGAACAACATTTACACACTTGATCTCAATCTCACCAGGATGCCCATGCCAAGACCTGTCCACGAACTGTCGCTTTTAGCAAACATCATGCCCAGGGATGCACCCCCAGGTCATCTCGTGCTTCCACTACTACAACCCCCTTCACGTAGAGCCTCTGCAGCTTGTGCAGAGTGCTGCTGTCGGTCTGGGATTCAGCCTCTCAAGGTTCTCCCACACGACTCCTCTTCTCCTTTTAAAAAAGACTGTGTTTATAGTGCAAATCAAGTGACCAACATGGAGACATATGATATAGCACAAGACAGGAAGAAGAACTAGACTAAAAACAAACAAATAAAAAAAATCAGCAGCAACGACGACAAGAAGAATGAAGAAATAGAATGAATAAAGGAGAACATGTTTGGTCTATAAAACGTCATCGTAGTGAAGGTTGGTGTGTGGGGGGGCGGTTTCTGTGGAAAATACATAAAGGGAACAGAGCAAAAGGTTAGGCAATATTAAGCAAAGGAAGAAAGAAGGAAAAAACATAGCTACAATACTCTTGGAGGGCATCAGAGTGGATCTGGGGCCAGTTATGTCAGGACAGCTGGGTTAGGGGGGAATTTTATGTATTTATTTATTTATTTAGTCTCCTTGTTTTTAGCTTCCTCTGCTTCCTTGCTTTCTTTTTCTTCTCCTTTTCTCCGTTCCCTACCCTGGCCTCCTGTTTCAGCTCACATCCAGTTTAGGATACTCGTCATTCAGTCCTCCAATCCACAGACAAACCCAGCACGCCCGCACCTTGGTTAAGGTTACATTGAGTTCTTTCATTTCTATGATTTGATGCCACCACGTCAGCGAGTCATTCTTCACACCTGACCTGGCTGGGCCTCATTAAGAAAAAAATCATTTATGAATCAACAAGTTTGTTTCAACCTTGTGAGTCAACTTTAACCCAGTAACTGACTCCTCTCCATCAGCTTACCAGACCTCAATTTTATGAAGCGCTACAGGAAAAAAAGGGAAAAAAGCTGTTTATTGTTCATTACAGATAAATTACTTTAGCAATTGACAGTTTCAACTAAACAAACAGATTGAGACTGATTGTAACACACACAGAGAATGTATTTATTTTTTTACCTCAGGTAAATCATGTCATTCAACTGGATACAACTGTACCCTGAGTGCCCCCTTTTGGTCACTTCTGTAACTGCAGCATCTCAATCCTCAGCCTCTCCACTGACAGCTGCTGCAGCCTCCTTCTGCCTGGTGACATGAATAAGTAGCTGCAGGAGTCACTGAGGATATGAATGAATGAATTCATGAATACATCTTTGCACTTCAGGATCAGGCTACAGTTATTTATCCACCACTGCCACATACAAAGATGCACTCAGCCTTATTATTGTGCTTATTTTTTACATTTTGCAAGCATGAGAATAAATTAAAATCACCGTTCAGTTCTGATTGTTGTGAACTAAAAAGTATCAATAACCACACTTTAAAGGTGATTGAGGATCAGTGAGGATGAGGAGCAGAAATATCTAGAAACATATTTGCTCAGTTTAGAAGAACTCAAATCTGCTGCCGAGGTTTAATATTTTAGGGAAATGTCCAAGGTTCACACAGTGTTCCAAACGGGGCTAAATGCCGGAAGAAGTGTGAATTATTAACTTGTTCCAAGGATGTTATTATTTTGCTGTTACGCAGAGCATCAGTTACCCTTTCCCATCGCCCTAATGTTATCTTATTCTATTTTTTGGAGGGTCTGTTTGTCACTCTTCCCCAGTGCTCTCGCTTGTATTCGTTAGAAATGACAGACTGACGCACCAGTGAGAGTTTGGTCCGCTTCTCCCAGCGCTCTTTCCATCGCAGAGCTCCTGCTCGCTGAGCTGTGACGTGGACAGGAGGAGGGGTCCGCCATGCGCTTAAATACAGGTCTCCAGTCCGGACTTCAGACAGAAAACGCACAGCCGAGCAAAACAAAGCATCTCCGCTCCACCAAAGACCGCTCCACCGCCTTTTTACGCAAACTCGCACAGTCAGCGAACCCGGCTATAACCATGATTAAGAAAATGTCGCCCTCCGAGAGCGATTATGACATCCCAGCAAAGAACTGCTACAGGATGGTGATTTTGGGATCCACCAAAGTTGGGAAAACGGCCATCGTGTCCCGGTTCCTCAACGGGAGGTTCGAAGAGCAGTACACGCCGACCATCGAGGACTTTCACAGGAAACTGTACAGCATCAAAGGAGACGTTTACCAGCTAGACATACTGGACACATCAGGGAACCACCCTTTCCCTGCCATGAGGAGACTATCCATACTGACAGGTACTTATCCACATATGTGCCTTTCTGTTTTTGTTATAGATAAAGACAATATTTTAAGGTCAGATATTTTGAATGCTGTGCGCACCGTGCGCTTCGAGCGCATGGCTTCAGGCTGCACGACAGCAAGTTATAGGGTTAGAAAACACACAGGTTGAATCTCTGATACTTTGCATGCATCAAAAGCAAACCATGTTAACCAAAGCATCCTTCTCTCTTCTTCCAGGTGACGTGTTCATCCTCGTATTCAGTCTGGACAACCGAGATTCCTTCCAGGAGGTGCAGCGGCTCAAGCGCCAGATATTCGAAACCAAGTCGTGCCTAAAAAACAAGATCAAAGAGAACATCGACGTGCCTCTGGTCATCTGCGGGAACAAGGGCGACAGAGAGTTTCACCGGGAGGTGCAGCAGGAGGAGATCGAGCAGCTGGTAGCCGGGGACGAGAAGTGCGCGTACTTCGAGATCTCCGCCAAGCGCAACGAGAACGTGGATAAGATGTTTCAGACTCTGTTTACCTTGGCCAAGCTACCTCACGAAATGAGCCCCGACCTTCACCGGAAAGTCTCCGTGCAGTACTGCGACATGCTGCACAGAAAGTCTCTGAAAAACAAGAAGATGAAGGACATTGGGGAAGCGTACGGTGTGGTCACGCCGTGCGCCCGGAGACCCAGCGTACACAGCGACCTCATGTACATTAAAGAGAAGGCGATAGGAGGCAGCCAGGGCAAAGACAAAGAGAGGTGTGTGATCAGCTAAAGGGGGCTGCGCAGCGCAAACTGAACACAAATCTTTGAAAGGAAACGGAGCCTGATGCGCCAGCTTGAGAGGCGACCTGTGCGGCCGGCTGCGCTCACGCACAGGAGGTGTGGAGACGCCGGGGCCGCCGCCGCCGCGCGCTCAGGCGTAGCGCCGTTTCCGGGGACACTGACTGGACTGGACTCTCGAGTCCGCTAAAACCGCCAAAAAACATTGCCCACGAGACATGTGAGAATGTTAGCTTGTCCTGTCAATCAGAGCCCAATGTGTGACGTGGCTTCATACCCTGTGAGACTCGCGCATCCATGCGTAAAAATGTGTTTTGTTGACGTCATGCCTTTTACAGATGTCAGAGGGGAGAGAAAAGAGACTCTTGGCTCAGGAGGTGCAGTGGGGGAACTGTAATGTTGTTTACATCTTATCATAGATTTTATAATGGCTAAGTAAGTACAACTTGAATGTTGTGTTGCAATTGGAAGTATTTTTTTTATTGTGTATGTATATATTTATTGTCAATGTCAATTTTTGCAAACAAGAAAAATCCTAAAATGTAATAAAAAAAACAACAAACAAACTTATTTTGCATTGTTTCTTCTATCTGAAGTTCTTTCTCTACTGTTGTCTACTGTCACAACCCACAAACACTATTGGCTTCACTTCTACATGTGAACACACACAGACTGCTGCCAGGTTTTAACCCTTTAGGCTCCCTGCATAATGCATTTGCAGAAAGCATCAGTGGGCCAAATAAAATACATCTCTCAGCATTCATAAATATCAGTATTAAAATTGCGCAGCTATATTGCAGAATATAATTTCAATTCAATTTTATTT